TCATACCCCAATGTGTCTAGTGACCTCCAGCTGAAAACTAAGTGTAGAAGGCAGCGGTTACTTGCATTACATTCCTTTAAAGAACTTCAGACAAGGCAGAAAACAAGGTTTTAACACTTTACTTAACCCCTTGGCGCCGGCGCCTCCCGCCCCTTTAAGGGTTTCAGAAGGCGGGAGGCGGGGTTTAGGGTCATGTGACCGCCGTGTCACATGCTGCCTCAGCATACCTGCAAAGTCCTTGCAGGATTTTTCAGGAGGACTACAGGTCTCAGCAGCTATGAAGACGTTGGCAAGCTCCTCAGGACAGGCATCTCCACTGGTGACAGATAGCAGAGAAGGTATTTGAAGGAGAGCAGAACAGATGGTTTTGCTGGAGGATTGGGTTACATAACAGCTGTCAGCCTGGCTTCTCCCATGTGGCTGGACCTTCTCAGACAGAGCATTCCCTCCTTAATCTATACTGGGGGGGGGGAGATTGGGGGGGGATACAAAGCCCAGAAGCCGTGGTCAAGTGAAAAGCCTGGGAGATGAAAAATGAACTGTTATTGAAGGGGTATATGCAGACTGGTATTGAAGTATTAAACTTTGCGCACTGATCAGTAGTGAAAAAGTAAATGAAGACTCCTTGTCAAAGGGCAAAGAATACCTTAGGGAAATACTTCACTAACTGGACAGTATAGTCAAGTTCTGGACTACTGTTCAATGTGATGGTAAAGGATTTTCTAGGTGTAGGGATGTTCAATAATTCTCCAGATTCCTGGCTTACAGCAACATCTAGAGGTCCTGGCTTCATGACATAAATGACATTAAAAAACAAAAATCAGTGTTTTCACCACTGCCTATTACTGCTCAATGGTTGAATGAAATCAATCCCTATATTGTCTCTACCATGTCAGTGCGTTACTTTTTTGTGACCAACATAGTTTAACAAATAAAATTCAGTATCTATCTGTAAGGTGTCTTTAGTTCTTTTCAAACAATGTGTTTTCTGGTTTATTTGTGAATTACCAATTTAACTCTCAAAATGTAAAAGATAAAACTAATTAGGCACTTAGCTCTCCTCTTTCCCTCCCCTCCATATTGTGAAAGTTGAGTTGGAAAAATTAACTACTTGCCCTGAAGAGGATTTACCCCACTTCCTGACCAGGCCATTTTTCTTTCGATATGGGGCTGCGTTACTTTAACTGACAATTGCGCGGTCATGAAATGCTGTACATAAATGAAATGTATGGAATTTTTTTCCTACAAATAGAGCTTTCTTTTGGTAGTATTTGATCACTTCTGCAGTTTTTATTTTTTGTGCTATAAACAAAAAAAGACTAACAGTTTAAAAAAAAACAATATTTTAGTTTTTTAAAAAATTTTAAAAATCTAATTTCTTCATAAATTTAGGCCAAAATGTATTCTTACAGATTGGGAAGTGTGTGGTGGCAACAGTCAGACTCCAGAGCTGGTGGGACATTGGTGTTATCATTAAGGAGCTGAGCTGGACACCCCTCCTGCATAGGAAGAAAGTTGCTGTACAGTGAAAATTAAGTGTACTGGAATACCCAGAACTGAAGTTTGACCGTTGACGGTAGTGGCGGAGCGGCCATCTTAACTGAGGTGATATCGGTATTAGCGTTCCCGGAAGCTGCTCGAGAAATGGTGTTATGGGAATATATGCATTTTTAATGTCATTTTAATGTAAGCATATTCATTAAAGCCTGGATTTAATTTTTACTGGATATACTACACTATATCGTCCTTTCTTTCTCTATGAGTGATTGCCTATGGATGGCCCTGGGTAGTATTGTGTCATGCTTGGAAATATGGGATAACCCGGCATCTGGAATAGCGTTTGTGGGATAATCTTGAGGATTGGTGGCTTACTGGATTATTCTCTTAGAAAGCTTTTTGATCATGTATTTAGGGTAAGAGTATTTACTCTAGCCACATAGAAGTGTTCACTGAGTGCTCACGGAGAAGTGTTCATATAGAAGTGTACTCGGAGTGCCTCACTATTTCACGTGTTTTTCACGTTTGTGTTTTCGTATTGTGTTTTCACAATTTTTCACATATGAGTTATTTCTGTATATATGGGTTTGATCACTGATTAATTGAGGATAATACACTATCTAGCTTTTATTTCATTTTTTGGAGGTACTGTATACGGTGAAAATCGATCATACTTTGGGATTATTACACTGAAGTAAATATTTGGGAAGATTCACTGACACTAAAAGAGGATTCAATATTTATACAAAATGTATTCTGCTACATGTCTTTGCCAAAAATCCCAATAAGTGTATATTAATTGGTTTACGTAAAAGTTATAGCGTCTACAAATGGCTGTATATATACTGGAATTTTTTTTTTTTATATAGTAATGGTGGCGATCAGCAATATATAGCAGGACTGCGGCGGGCATTCTGACACTGGGTGGGAACTGACTAACTGCCACTGATACCCCCAGTGACACTAATACAGTGTTCAGTGCTAATAAACAGCACTGACACTGTACTAATGACACTGAGCAGGAAGGGGTTAACATGAGGGGCGATCAAAGGGTTAACTGTGTGCTGTTTTAACTTGGAGACATGCTGCTTTGTATCTCCCTGCTGTGCAGAGATACAAAGCAGCATGTTCATGTTGACAGCAGAGGGACCTGTGTTGTTTACACACAGGTCTCTCCCCTGTCAGCTTTGCTGATGATCACCAAGTGCTGGCCAGGAATCGCTGTGTGCTGTTTTTACCTTGGAGACATGCTGCTTTGTATCTCCCTGCTGTGCAGAGATACAAAGCAGCATGTTCATGTTGACAGCAGAGGGACCTGTGTTGTTTACACACAGGTCTCTCCTCTGTCAGCTTTGCTGACGATCACCAAGTGCTGGCCAGAAATCGCTGTGTGCTGTTTTACCTTGGAGAGTTGATGCTTTGTATCTCCCTGCTGTGCAGAGATACAAAGCAGCATGTTCATGTTGACAGCAGAGGGACCTATGTTGTTTACACACAGGTCACTCCCGTCAGCTTTGCTGATGATCACCAAGTGTGCTGGCCAGGAATCGCCAGCCGGGACTCAGTGATTGATATCCCCAGCCTCCAATAGCAGCATGGGTAGGGCGGCTCGCGATCTACCCACTCATTCGCATACGCCCCCTACCCAGAGATGCAAATCACGTATCTAAAATGATTTTGCACATTTGTTCCGCCCTGTAGCTGTACTTCTACTATATGGCGGATGGCAAGTGATTAAAAAATTTTGTCCAGTATTTAATTGGTGTGTTGCTAGTGAAGAGATTTCCCCTCACTTTCTGCCTTAGTGGTAGTGGTCAGCCGGACAGGAAGTTAAGAGAAATCTCCCCAAAAGTGACCCAGATGGGAAATGTTAAGCTGGCCTTAGATTTCAAACAACTATGTGATGCGAGGACCTACCTGGTTAGATCTGAAGGAAGCAAAAACTATATTAGTGTGAAACAACCATCCTTAAACTGAGGTGGAAACGTTTAACACACATCTGCCACTCACATATAATGCTGTTTTAAAAACATCTCTACCCTAAAGATTTGACATCACTCCAAACTATGAACACCTCTCCCAGACACAATGGCACCATAGTTAAGTTATTAAATAGAATACATTTAAACAGGATCGTTTTCACATACTGTACCTTCACTCCCATAGTGAGCATCTACCTTGACACATTCTATGGTGATTGGATTAGGGTGACAGAGTTGCCTGTGTGTCTATAAGTGCCAGGTTATTCTTCGGTCAATCTGTCAGAGCTCCCCGTAAGACCAGAGATGTGTGAACTGACACAGGGAAACACAGGCTCAAGTATGGTGTAACAATATAATTTATTAAAGGTATACACAAATATATAAAACACACAATATAACAAACCAGACCTCCAACTGATAACGGAATGTACACAGACAAGAGCAGTCAGGGCTGGTGAGGTGGAGTGGTCAGGCAGGCTGGGTCAGGAATCATCAGGCAGACAAGACATAAAGGAGCAGGCAGAAACGTAGTCAGACGGGGGGCCGGGTCAGGAACAATCAGGCAGACAAGGTACCAAAGGAGCAGGCTGGAGAGTGGTCAGGAATAGCCGAGGTCAGGACAGGCGAAGTTCATTCAGAATCAGGATCAAAGCAGAATCAGGAATCAGGGCAGGAAGCAGACAGGATGCAGGTACAGGGGCTCATGGGAAACATACACCAAGGCACTGACTGCAGGTTTCTGGCCATTCCTTAAATACACCTCCTGCAATCAGCCTCAGGCGATGGCTGATTGCAGGAGTGAGCTATTCTGGTTGCTGAGAGCACCCGCTGGCCACCCTGGTACTGCAGCCAACATGGCAGATGAGTCCCCACCACTAATGGTGAGTCCATTCCTGACACAATCATTAAAACTGTAGAAATTGTTCAGATGATGGTAACATGTGTTAAACTTTACAGATCAAGTTTCAGCTGAAAGTGACCAACTACCACTAGCTTTACCTGGGTAGACTTGAATGGACTGGATGGTTTTGCAGCACCTTGCTTTGAATCAGTGTTTATAAAAAATGAAGGAGATAGTAAAGAGGTCATACTTTCAGAGTGTAATGTAATTGGCTATCTTTATAGCATTTCTAACCCTTACTGTATTCAAAGCAAAACACATAAGACAATTTGGCTGCAGAACAAAAGAACCTCTATTCTGTACTTGTAAGATAGTAATCTGTGGGGGTCGCACGTTATGGAGACAACTGTCTAAGAGAGGAACAACCCCTCTTCTACGATTTCTAAAACTGGGGGAAAAAAAAACTTTGGCTTTAGATATACTTTAAATAATGTATTTTTGTTGGCTGATCACAATGAAATCACCTGATTCTCTGCTATCAAAACATGATGACTTGAGTCATAGTGTGCAAATATTGGGTGATATTCTATTGAAGTCATATTAATATTAAAAAGTTGATTTTATCACACATAAAAGATAGGAGACAAACTGGAAGATTGCTGTAGTGGACATAACAACATTACAGGATGGAGCCCGGCTCTCATAAATTCTACCACGTAGATGCTTCCACTCCCGGAATTTTCTGGAAACATATTATTCTAGTAAACCTGACATGCCCTTTGCTTATGAAGCTTTTATGTATCCTATGGAGAAATTCAACAGTGCATTTTCCACAGGTAGGTAAATCTCTTTTTGAAAAATAAATTATTTTTACAGGAATATATATAGGGAGAAATGAAGCATGAACTATTGATTTGCAAAATGGTCATATACAAGATTCATATTGAAGTATGAATCAAGGACTATTGCCTCCAGGAACTTTGCAGGAAGAAATTGCAAACTCCTCCTGGATTGAATTTGTCATATTTATCTATTTTTTTTTTTACAAATCTGTAATACATATTTAAACCAAGCTAAGCAAATTCCTTTAATTATTATACTCTCGAGTTGACTGAATTATTGTAAGATATCAACATATCTGAAAAGTTAAACATAGGAACGTTGGTCACCAAGTTTCCAGGAAATACTTGGTCACCAAGTTTCCAGGCCTGTCAGAGGCAAAATTGAAGGAAGGTGTGTTCGTCGGACCAGACATTAGAAGGCTTCTAGTTGATCAAGAGTTTGTCAATACCATGACAGATCCTCAAAAAGAAGGGTGGATTGCATTTAAAGAAGTCGTACAGACATTTTTAGGCAGTAACAAAGATCCTCACTAAAAAAAGATCGTCAGAGGAATGCTGAATGCATTTCAAGCTTTAGGTTGCCTGATGAGTTTGAAAGTGCAATTCCTCCAGTCCCACCTTGACTACTTTCCTGAAAATTTGGGAGCTGTGAGTGAGGAACAAGGTGAATGATTTCACCAAGACATTAAATAGATGGAAAGGAGATACCAGGGAAAATGGAGCATTTACAATGATGGCAGACTACTGTTGGATGCTTCAGAGAGACATTTGCAGATGCTACTCCACACAAGCGTAAATGCACCAAGAGGAGCCTCACAGGGAAGAAGAATTGAGTTTAGTGCGTGTTAGGTGAGCTCATTTCAGTTCAAAAAAGGATTTTCATGAAAAAATTGTAATAACTTTAATTTTATAAGTCTATTTCCATTTATTTTGAGGTATTGCCTTATTTTAACATAGTTACCTAAATTGTCAGGAAACGTGATGTCCCTATGACAAAATCGAGGTCATTTTTGGATTCAGTGCACCAAAAAAACATAAAGATTATATGGAATAACTAAAACAGCTCTTGAAAAAAAATGTTTTTGCAGACCTGTGTTATTATACTCTCGAGTTGACTGAATTATTGTCACATATCAGCATATCTGAAAAGTTAAACATAGGAACGTTTAAGTAATAAGGCTGGGCTAACCCTTTATTGCACCAGGTTTGTCTAAATACATGATTCATTATAATACGATTCTCTCAGTCTTTGTTTCGGTTTCAGTAATGAACACAGCAGGTGTGTGCACTCATGAAATCAATGCAGGGATGTTGGTATCTCCTCATAAAAGGCAAAGTGGGGGCAGATCTAGGACTACTTGCAGGACAGTGGAGCCCCTAATAATGGGCATAGAAGGTATGCAGAGCTGGGACCTCAGCTCCATAGATCTCATTAATAGAATCCTAAAGAAATAGAAGAAAACTGGGAAATGATTTAACTTCTCAGCACCTACCAATAACTGAAATATCAGTTTTGGATGAACTGGCCCTTCAAATATATGTCCATTTCTTGCATGGTTTATATTGATAGTGCAGTATAATTTTCAGAACATGTTATAGTTGATGCATGTTTAAAGTTATAGGATTTGTGTGAACAACATTTAATGTACAATTAATGCAGGCTAGATAGCGTTTCATTCTTTTCAACAATTTAGCATATTCAGGAGGAGCACAATGTATCTGTTCTCAATTCAAATGCATTGCATGGAGACCATACCACAGGTTTTTTTGAATCTTTTGCTGCAGGTGACATTAAAGGAGACGTGTTGATTGACATCAGTGCTGGTCCCGTCATTCACCATCTCTATTTAGCACAGGAATATTTCAAAGATATCATCCTTCTCAAGCCTACTGACCACTGTATTTTAGAAGTGAAAAAATGGAAGACCAGCCGAACCGGAGCGTTTAATTGGTCGCACAGCTTTACACTTGCTACAGAAATGGCAGGAAAGAGGTGAAGTATCTGCCGTTTTCTTTTCGGAGTCAGGTTGGTGTGATGATCCAGTAACATGGGGGAGTCCGACCAGACGTTCTTTTTAAAACACTTTATTTTTTTTTCCTTTACATAGTCATTTCAGCTTGTGTGTTAAGATTTGTAAATGGAGTAGTAATATTACTAAATTGAATAAAAAAGGATGTTCATAATGTCTTAATACTTAACTAACATCAAAATTAAAGCTAGAAGAATCTTTTTTTTTTTTTTTTTTGCATGCAGCATGTGATCCCCAGCAAAAGAGGTAGAGGAGAGGGGGAAGAAGAGAAGTAAAGGGAGAAAATGGGAAAAAAGGAGAGTGGAGAAGAGAGGACAGGGAATAGTTGAGAACAGTAGAGGAAGGGAGGGAATAGGCGAGGACAGTAGAGGAAGGGAGAGACTAGGTGAGGACAGTAGAGAACAGGAGAAGCGAGAGGGAAGATGAGAGGAGAAGAGAAGAAAGTATACAGGAAGAGAGGGGAGTAGGTGCATTTTCTGAATCTAGTGTGGCCCATGTGCAAGATCATCAGTTGGACACCCATGAGCCTGTAACAAGGGGAGACCCATGTCACACTCCACTCCACCTACCCACACATGAGGACAAAAAAAAAAAAAAGTTTTTGTTCAGCTTCACTTTTGTGCCAAATGAGTGGCAACAGACTGTGAATACCCATGCTGATCCCAATTTTATAAGAATAAAAGGCGTGTATAGCAAGTTATGGTGTTTTTACAAACCATCTGCAAGGTTTTTGAAGCAAATTCAGATTGTCACACTTTTGTATGCATTTCCTTTATGGACTCAATAATGAGGATGGATGTTTTGAAATTGAAATACCTGGAGACTGTAGAAAGGAATACCAGATTCTGTGGCTATGCTGATCCCAATGTTTTATAACGGAAGGTGCAAAGACCTACACACATTTTCATTAGGTTTTGTAAAGAAAGTGGGGGAGTAAATTGGAGGGAAAAGTTGGTGTTGGGATTTACACTGCTCAAATAATATGGTGAAATTGGTCAATAATGATTATTATTGGAAGCAATTGAAGCTTGGGGAATACATTCATTGAATTCAAAGACACTCCGAAAATCAAAGTGAAAAAATGATTAGTCCATTTAGCTGAAATTTCATTGCAGCAACTCAAAATGGTACTCAGTAGTCTGCATGGCCCCCATGTGCTTGTATGCATGCCTGACAACTTCAGGGCATGCTCCTAATGAGACGACGGATGGTGTTCTGGGGTATTTCCTCCCAGATCTAGACCAGGGCATCATTGAGCTCCTGGACAGTCTGAGATGTTGCAACCTGGGTGGCATCAGTTGGACCGAAACATGATATCCCAGAGGTGTTCTATTGGATATAGGTCAGGCGAGCATGGGGGCCATGCAATGGTATCAATTCCTTCATCCTCCAGGAACTGCCTGCATACTTTAGCTACATGAGGCCGGGGCATTGTTGTGCACCAGGAGGAACCCAGGACCCACTGCACCAGTGTAGGGTCTGACAATGGATCCAAGGATTTCATCCTGATACCTAATGGCAGTCAGGGTGCCATTGTCTAGGTTGTAGAGGCCTGTGCGTCCCTCCATGGATATGCCTCCCCAGACCAACACTGACCCACCACCAAAATGGTCATGCTGCATGATGTTACAGGCAGCATAATGTTCTCCACGGTTCTCCAGACCCTTTCACATCTGTCACATGTGTTCAGGGTGAACCTGCTGTGAAAAACACAGGGCGCCAGTGGTGGACCTGCAAATTCTGGTGTTCAATGGCAAATGGTCGTGGGCAGTGAGCACAGGGCCCACTAGAGGATGTCGGGCCCTCAGGCCACCCTCATGAAGTCTGTTTCTGATTGTTTGGTCAGAGACATTCACACTAGTGGCCCTCTGAAGGTAATTTTGTAGGGCTCTGGCAGTGCTCATCCTTTTCCTCCTTGCACAAAGGAGCAGATACTGATTCTGCTGATAGGTTAAGGACCTTCTATGGCCCTGTCTCCTGGAATCTCCTCCATGCTCTTGAGACTGTGCTGGGAGACACAGCAAACCTTCTGGCAATGGCACTATTGATGTGACATCCTGGAGGATTTGGACTGCCTCTGCAACCGCTATAAGGGTCCAGGTATCACCTCATGCTACCAGTAGTGACACTGACCCTAGCCAATGCAAAACTAGTGAAAAAAACAGTGAGAAAAGATGAGTAGGGAAAAAATTTCAGTGGCCTCAACCTGTAAAACTATTCCTGTTTTGGGAGTCATCTCATTGTTGCCAATATAGTGCACCTCTTGGTAATTTCATTAACACCAAAGCAGCTGAAACTGATTAACAAACCCCTCTGCTTCTTAATTAACCAGATCAATATCCCAGGAGTTTCATTGACTTGATGCTATACTCTGATTAAAAAAGTGTTCCTTTATTTTTTTTTGAGCAGTGTAGTTTGTGTTATCAAAATGCTCACTATGGCAATAATTACATTCTTCATGTCCCCAGTTTATATATTATAATACTACAAATAACCATCTGCACCTTAGAAATGTTAGCAGTATTAAACAGCCGGGGGCGGGCTGACCATTTGGAAACTCGGGCACTGCTCGAGGGCCCAGGGTCAGTAGGGGGCCCCATGAGATGCCCCTGGTACCTTTTTTCATAGGCTTTTTTGAGTTTGGGCAAGGACGCAGGGACCCCCATGATCACCTATTACCCGGGGAGCCCCATGAGTTGTCAGTCCGGCCCTGTTAACAGCTCAGACTTAATATGACCATTGCTTCATATATAATATCAGTTGAAAGTTTTATATGACATGTGATTGTGTTTCTACTTTACAGTGACCAATGTGAGGACAAGGAAATTGGACTCAGGGCGGCAATTGCACATGTAATTAAATTCGATCTCAGCAAGGAAAATCTCACAGACCCAATTGCGTTACCACAAGCTGACTGCCTGATCCTTTGGGGTGTGTTCTGGAAATCATAAGCAAAGATCTTGATGACTTTGTGAGAAACTTCAAGAGGTTCTCAAATCTTCTGAAACCTGGCGGGCACTTGCTGTATTATGGAATTTTAAATGCCACATTCTTTCTGGTTGGGGAGAGAGAGGTTCCACGCTGTAAAAGTATAATGAAAGTGATTTGACAAGCATGCTTAATAATGAGGGGTTTGTTATCAGCCATTTGGGAGGTTTCCAAAAAAAAAAGGCTGAGAGTGACCTGTGTGATCTTGACTCGTTTGTGTTCTGCACAGCTTATAAATCACAAAAGATTTAGGCCTCATTCACCACCATTGCATGTGAGAATGTGCACCTGTATTTTAATCAAAAAGTATATTGTGTTTCAGTGCTATTCTAATGCGTAATGTTAAAATGTAAATGCAAGGCAAAACGTGTGTTGTGTGTGTTGCTTTGTGTGCATTTTAACATGTGTTTTTTTTCCTGGGAAATATACAATGTGCCTTAAAAAAATACACCAACTTTTCACATTGATATATAAACAGGCTGTGGCCACTGTTAGCTAGGCAGGCTGCCAAAGATATATGAGCTCTGAAGAAGGCATCCTAAGACCTCAGAAACTTGTTAACATCTTTGATGGAATTTTTGAGCTAATAAAAATTAAAGAAAATCTAAGTAATCTGAGTCTACCTTCTACACCTTGACTCACCCCACTGTTTAACTCGTATTTAACACTTGGTAACTCTTATTAATTTTCTTTAACCTCCTTAGCGGTATTCCCGAGTGTAGATCGGGGTAAAATTTGAGTACCAAGAGCGGTAACCCCAAGCTACACTCGGGCTTACCATGTGGCGTTGCTCTGGGAGTCCCTGCAGCACTTACCTTGTCCTTCGCTCCCATGATGTGTTCCCCTGCAGCGTCCCCGGCCATCTCCTCTGGCCGATGCCGGCATCCCGGCTTCCGTGTTCCGGTCCCTGTGACGTCGGGACATACGGGAGCCGGAACCGGCGCGGCAAATTTGAAATTTTTTAAAAATTTCATTTTTTTAAAAAAATGATTATTATATAGTAAAACATTGCTGTTTCAAACCATTTCACATACATTTTGTCCCTACTGCTTTGTCCTGTGTCCTGCCTGCATTTTGACTGTTCTTTCTGCCTGGAAAACTTAGAAAAGTCCATGGCGTCCAAAAAGCGTTCCTTTATGTCAAAAGTGGTTTTAGACCAGCTAGAGAACAGCGATAGTAAATCAGAACCACTTGCAGAATTGAGTGATAATGATTCGTGGGGAAATTCGTCATCAGACACTGAAAACGATTTTGCGACTTTGCTCAGCGATGTGCAAATTTGCCTCTGTATTCAAATTTCAGTGTTTTTTGGTTTGATTATATTATTGAATTAAATATATTATTATTATATTATTATTTTTTATGATTATTTAGTAAATTATAATTTATGATTTCGTGTTTCACAGTTTTATCATATCTGGAATGTTTTACTAGACTCTTGTTCGGACAGATTTCAGTGAGTTATTCCTAAAAAATTACAGCCGTCCTACAATAAAAAACTACATATTTCCATGCAAAAAAAATGGTACCGGCTTTCAGCACAAAAAAATCAGAAATAATCATTACCGCCAGGGAGGAGGTTAAAGCAGAACTTTACTCTTTCGATTAACATTTGACGCAGCGGGCCGTAGATAATTTTATTGTTTGGGGGGGGGGGGGGTTATCAGCTGACTGGTTTGCCATGCACAACTGCTCCAGATTCTTTCTGTTCCCATTTTGATAAATTCCCCCCAATGTTCCCAAATAAAAGGTAATATTAGCTGTATGGATATTGAATGGGCGTGTCATAATTTTACTAAATATTTTTTAGGGCGGAAAAAAGAAACTGAACCCCATTGCCTACCCACAATGGAGTCATTTTTTATCTATTAAAAACACATTTCTAAATATTATCTAATGAATGTGCACCTGTACCAGGGGACTAAAAGATGGCTTGTAAGTCCCACTAAGCCAATACCTACCCCCCATACTTAACCTAAGTAACCACACTGACAACAAATGGAGTTAATGGTTCAAAAAAAACCGGCCTTTTATTATACAACCATCAATAAATACAATTTTTTATAATAACAGAAACACAGTACAAACATACATTCTTTCAAGGTCCCAATAGGCATCAATAAAATGAATACCTGCGTCCTGCTTTAACTAGGCCTCCAGCTGCAACATCATCGACTTGGAGACACCACCGCAGATACCCCCACCAAGAACAACTGGAAGCCGTACCTCAGACGGGTTGCAACAAAGTGCCTTTTCTTGTGCCCACATTATACCCAACGATGACCTTGCACCCCGCCGGACATCCCCCAGCACCAATATGGCACAACAACCCCACCACAACAAACCATCAAACAACGGGCAGGTGGGAGGGAAGTTTGCCCTGTGAAAACTCTCTCCAGACTGAAAACCACCTGCCACACCCTGTAAGACCACCCCTTGTGGCTCCCCCTACTCCTTCCTTAACTATTTTTAACTCCCCCTTATGCTAATGAGACTCTATCCCAACCCCCTTTAACCCCTGTCATGCCGGCCCTTCGTTCAGGTCTTCTTTCTTCTTACTCCCAGGGGCCTTTCCTTCTTAGGACAACAGTTAACAGGTTAAAAAAGTGCACTGCGTGCAGGGGCGGACTGACCATTTGAAAACTTGGGCACTGCCCGAGGGCCCGGGGTCAGTAGAGGGCCCCGTGAGATGCCCCTGGTACCTTTTTCATAGGCTTTTTTTTTTTTTTTGAGTTTGGGCAAGGAAACAGGGGCCCCATGATCCCCTATTGCCCGGGGGCCCCATGAGTTGTCAGTCCGTCCCTGACTGCGTGCTATAAGATGCTGCCCTTAGCACCTGCTCAATTATAGTGTACAAACTGAAGAGATACAAAGTGAGTGTTCTTCCTACCTACTACAAGATGATGCCCTTTGCACCTACTCAGTAAAATTGGCTATTCTAGCACAGGGATGTTCAATTCCTATCGCCTGACGCCCGGGACAAGTAGTTCTGGGCACCGGACAGGTCGTTTTTTTTTTAACCTTTAGCCCTGCTGCGGGAAAGCAGCAGGGCTCACCTGTCAGATGGAAGCATTTGGGTGGCCGTGCTGCCGCTCAATTACTTCCACACAAGCCACTATGGTGCCAGCCTCTTAAATATATATATGCAACGCTAAGAATGAAGTGATAAAATGCATGAAGCGCAAAAAAAGAATTTCTTCCAAAAAATTGGTGAATTACAGATAATCAACAAAGTGACAAGTGCAATGGTGAATGGATGAATTAAAATAAAGTGACAAATCAATTGTGAATATTACAAACCACTGTCAAAATGAATAAAATGGTAATCTCTGAAAGTAAAAGATTCCTTAAAATATATAAACACATGTAGTCCAGTGAATTGGTGAATGGATGAAAAAACACCTAAAATTCAATAAAATGTTCAAAACTCCAGAATCCAGTGCTGTTGACTTCAAAGTGATGTAAGAAATGATGTATGCTTGCACTTACCAGAAGCGCAAGCTAAATGCACATATAAATATTATATCCAGCTAGGGGGTACCCTTGTGGTCATCATGGATCTGGTCATAACCTGGGGGAGGGGGGGCTCCAATGGCACACACACACCGGATCGCACTCCAAACCTCGCAGTAAATTAATCCAGCCTCTGCCCCTCCTTCCCCTGCCCGCTATGTCTCCTGGGCTTCACTTGCCCATCTGCGGGCCCGGGACCAGTTCAGTGGGAGCCGGAGGGTATAGGGGAGTGAGGACAGCAGACTAAAATCTGAGATAAGTCAGTATCAGTATAGCAGATACAAATCCCTAGTATTTGAACGGGATTATGGATCCCCAGGGCACCTGATCCCTTTTGAGAATTGTCGGGATAAGGTGGCCAAAAAGTTAATAAAAGGCCTGAAGGGCTCTCAGGGGATTTTACAGCAGTCACAGGAGGGAATTCTTGGAGTTATTAGGTCATACTATACTGACTTATTTCAGAAAAAGGGTTCGGACAAGGAGACGATGACACAGTTCTTAGAGGCGGTTCCAGGTCCTGATATTGACAATTTGGACTTCTCACCTTTGAGAGCAGACATCACTGTGGAGGAGGTAAGGGAGGCTTTTGACAAATTATGTCAGAACAAGGCACCAGGACCTGATGGCATTACAGCTGAGTTTTATAAGAAGTTTAAAGAGGTCTTAGCTCCAATTCTGGTGGATGTGTTTAAAAGTTGTTTGGAGAAACACCTGATGCCTCCATCCATGAGAGTATCGTCGTTAGTTCTGCTGTTTTAAAGATAAAGAGCCCAGTGACATCAAGAACTGGAGACCTATTGCCCTTTTGAATGTAGACAGGAAGATTCTGACAAAGATTTTTTTTTCTAGATTGAATTGTTTTTCTACTGCACTATTGTCAGACTGTCAGTATGGCACAGTAAAAGGGCGGAATATTTCTGGTGCTGTAGTTTCTTTAAGGGAAGCGTTTGATTTTTTTTTTTTTTTTACATTTCTGGCTATCTTTATTCCCATTTACCTCCCCCCCTCTATTTCCCCTCCCCCCTAAAGTAAAAACCTCCCTCCCCCCCCCCCATGAACCCACCTACTCTTCATTATTCTATTAACTCTTTTCCCAACTAGAATATGGGGGTGTGTAAATCCTTTCATCTTTCTCACATTACTACTTCATATATTTCACCATAAATTCTTCCCATTTTTTCCACCTCCTAGAGAACAACCCCATCCTGTCTTCCTGCATATAACACAATCTCTCCATCTTGCAAATTTGATTTGTTCTTTCCACCCAGTCCTCTATCTTCGGCACCTCTGGTCTATACCAAAACTTAGGTATCAAACCCTTCGCCGCATTCAGATAGCACCACATACCCGAGTCCTTATATTTATTTACCGATAACTCTGTACTATGTAGTAGACATACTGCTGGCTCCAATCCTATCTTTATCCCAGAGATATTCTCAATTAGTTGGACAATTTTTTCCAGAAACCTTGGATCTTCGGGCACTCCCACCATATATGATAAAACGTGCCTATTTTTCTACATCCCCTCCAGCACTCTTGTGAATTTTCCCCACATATCTTATACTCAACCTTCGGTGTAATGTGCCATCTCGTTAAACACTTATAATTTACCTCCACCTCTCTCACACTTACAGTGGGGATCAAAAGTTTGGGCACCCCAGCTAAAAATTTGTATTAATGTG